CTCCATCTCCTCCATCTCCTCCATCTCCTCCATTCACCAACGTTTGAAAGACATTTACTTCCAAAAATTCCTACGCGAAATTCGTAATGACAACAAATCCAAAAACGCAAAGAACAAACTACGCTCGTACAGAATATTCAAATCTACTTATAATAAAGAACATTATCTTAAAATCCCAAACGGAGGTAAAAAAAACCACCATCACCAAACTACGAATCAGCTGTCATAAACTCAGCATCGAAACAGAAAGGCACAACCGCACACACATTATGAAGTCCACTTTATCGTTGATTGTAGTTTATATAGTAATAGTAGAAATGACATTTTCAGCTACATCACAAGAACGTTCCCGTACTTCCTATGCTTGACTAATATTGAGAACTTTATCTTTCTTATGCGCTTTAAATAAACCCATTTCAAATTATATTTATAACATCACTAAGAAACGAGAAGCCGAACCTTTGAACATGTATATTATCTTTTCATCTGTTCACCTTTACTTAGACCGATAGGGCATGAATGTACAATAAAGGTTATTATCATTATTATTCACATACAGACTCGTTCCCCTTAGTCATTCATTCATGCAATATATTTCTCAAGGATACCATGCCTCCATGCACGTGCTACCTGCGTCATTTTTGTCCTTGTTGTCATAGTGACTACTCATGTCACTCGTCCTTATTGTTGGCATGTGTTTTTGTGACAGCCTGTTCGGAACATTTGACGCCATTAGAATTGTAGGACGACCAATTGTGTATGTGACCAGGCCCTAACTTAGTGACGCAATACCTTTCTACAGGCTAAATGAGGCCACCAAACCATTCTATTTCATATGACTTTATAACAATAAACACTTATCTATAATGGACAATCGGTTAGAAAATTGCACAATAGCTTTTCCGCTCAAGTTTTTGTAAGAGTAAGAACGACACAGACCAGGGAAACTATTTTGAGTTTTTTTTTAAACAATCGAGGTTAATTGCATAGTTACAGACCCACGTCAGCGGAAGACCACGCCAATCTATTCTCGTTACGCTGTTACAAGCGTGAAAAGGCGTTTTTAGCATTCCAGAGTGACGCCGTCTATTGTCACCTGTAGGTAATGTCATTTATATTTCCATTTTAATCTTTACAAGGCGATGTCCCATGTCATTTGTCGTCGCCATGGTGGCAGCGCGGTCTTTAACAGCTTCATTGGAACGAGGATGTGTGACTCTCGTCTAACACTACACTACCCTTTGTAATGTCTCAGCATTTTTGTGGTACAGATATAGCTGTCATATTTTGTACCTTGTGCATAGGTCATACAACAAATTTTATTGCCAGTCTTTAGTAAACAACCATCCAACCAGGAACACGACAGCGATGATGACCATGGTAAATGCGGATTATTTAGAATGAAAGACCTTCACTGTACGTTTGTTCTCTAACAAGCTAAGTACAGGTCATGGATAAACTGGGAAAAAGAATACAGCAATGACACAAACTATACATACTAATGTGATCTACTATTTACAGGTTCAGCTTCTCGCCTCTTGACACAGTTAAAGATGTAAGAACATATTGAGCTAATGATTTATTCCCTCCTCCCCTGGTGACCGAATGACTAGTACGTCGAGACGTAAGCCAAATACAAATGTAAGACTAGTACGTCGAGACGTAAGTCGGATACAAACAGGAATGGACTGGAAATGACAACAATAATGACCGATTGTGTCATAATAGTCTGGGTGCAATCCTCCATGTTCACTATGTTTCACCTGTTGTTACTCATTATATGTTTCACCTGTTGGTTACTCATTACGACAGCTGAAGCACATTTCCAGTACGGGCAACCTTAAGAATAATATTATGTACATTTGTTCCAAGTATCGACGACAAGATATTACAAACAGTTCCTCTAACGTTTTCATTAGAACTTTCTGGTATACCATTTAGAATTAGGTCCCTGCATAGGATATTGGTCCCTAGTTTTTCGCTACAATAAAGTAAGATTGGTTTAACTAGACTATTAAACAAATCTAAGGAAGGGGAGATAGATGGGTTGTAGTTCGATGCCAGAAGAGATTTAAGTTTAAATGATGCGCGGAGAGCTTTTAGCCTAATTTGTTTAGTGGCACGGTTGAAAGATCCTGATGGAGTAATATCTATACCCAGATATGTACAAGAGACTGTAATATTTATGGTCTGTCCCTGCATTTTGAAGGGGGAGCGCTGGTTTTTGTTTGTTCTTCCATTTTTTGAAAAGACCATCACCTTGGTTTTATCTCTGTTGATCTGTAGCTTCCATAAGGAGCAGAAATTATCTAGTCTAGTAAGACATGCTATTAGACCTGTTTCTGACTTCGATAGAACTACTAGATCGTCTGCCCATAGAAGACTACTTATAGGAATATCTTTCAAGAACACTGGGTCACATAATGGAGATGCCAATGAGGCTGGAAGATCATCTACAAAAAGATTGAAAAGAAGCGGACTCAGGTTACAGCCTTTGCGTACTCTGCGGGTTGATTTAAAATAATTTGAAAGGCCTTTGGAAGTTTTAACACAGAATTCTACATTGGAATACATGGATCTACAGTACTATTTTGTCATGGGAAAAAACAACACCGTCACAATTACTAATCAGAATTTTACCAAATTACTATTGGGAACCTCGACTCTGATATATTTCACCATTGCAAACGTAGTCGTTTTCGTTGGTGGTGAGGGGGGGCCGGCTCAGTGTTTTTCAAATATCAGCCCACCGTTGAGCAAAAGTAATTTTGGGAGAGACAAAAGATGCACGGTTTACCTGTACATTGTTGTCAAATGTGTATTGTGTTGCCATGGTCAGAGACGAGACGGCGCCTATGTCTATAATGGAGGTTATAAGGGAGGTTTAACTTCCTTGGTTATATTTCATTTTCTGGAACATTGGAGAACACGAAGTTGAAAACATTACAAAGTCAAACTGCATTATGTGTTGATGCAAGGACGTTCTACGGTTGATGGTAACATTTCGGAATGACAACAATAATAACCGATTGTGTCATAATAGTCTGGGTGCAATCATCCATGTTCACTATGTTTCACCTGTTGATGACTCATAATGACAGCTGAAGCACATTTATCCTGTGATGGGAGGTGGGGGGGTCCTTAACTATAAATGTTTTACTTCAATAGCTATGATCTTAGTTGGCTCCTGTGTGCCTCACAGGCGAGGCGTACTTGTATGCCTACCACCAACCACGAAAAATAGACAGAATTCAAGTTGACCATATCAGTGACTTTTCTCTAGCTTTAGGTTACAACGCCCCCCAATTAATATCGCAATGGTTTCACCCTGACCGACAGGACAAGGACTGCGATTTTTCTGCGCACCTCCTGACTGAGTTGAGCTGTTACTGACGTGGTCTCGCTTCTACCGAAGATATACTGTTAGGAACAACGTTAGCGGGGCCGTCTTGACTCAGCCATTAACTTTCCTACCATTCTTTTTAACGGTCAGGACAACTATAATCAAATCATAAGGGCAGGCAAGCGGTGCAGTAGCATTGGGGGAGCATTTAATGTGCCTCCTCTTTTCTTAGTTTTTCTTTTGACCTGTTTGAAAGCAAGCGAGAGAAAAACATGACAGGATTTCAACTGTGTTGTGCCGTCGCGATCTGCTGTGTCTTTGGCATCGTTGCGCAACAAGGTGAGTAAAGGCAACAATAATGTATTTTTTTTAAACAAACCAGTTTTTTCTACGAAGAAAGCGTTTGCTTGTTTTGTTTCAGTAAGCTAGTGTGGTTGTGCAGATCCCGATGACTTGGCGTCATACATATGTTTACCCTACATTTACAATGATTCGGACTGATCCGAGATGAACACCTAGATGTACGAAACACTGCCTGTACATCTGCCACGGTGTGTGCAGGTCTGTAAAACCCCCGTACCCGGCCGGACAACTGGTAATGGACATATCACATTATTACGTCACAGTTTGTTTACCTGTTCTAAAGAACATTCTAGAACGGTCAGTTAAAGAATAAAGATCATTTCAAAGTTTTCAGGTATGTTTGATTTTTGTTGCGTTTAGTTTTGTTCATACAGCATCTCATGCCGTAATGTGTGATTTAGTTGTGACATTAGACAAAAGTAGTACTGTATTAAAATCATTATATTACATCTGCGGATCCAGGGGGCTCGATTTTGTGTCAAGCAAATACTCCCAATTTAAGTATTTCTATAGTATAGGGAAATTTATATTCCTTGTAGTCTTTAACAAACCAGCTCTAACTACTCATACAGCCAACTACATTTATAAGATTACCAGAAAGCGAGAGGAAGTTGAAAGTACTTGTGTATTATAGCCGTTTTTTTTATCAACATTGATGATGTACTTTGTCAATATGTGACCTGTCTTTAGCCCAGTGGGGCAAAATGTACAATACAGGTCTTCATTTATTCAATAATCCAGATTTTACACCATGACATTAGCGGGCACGCCCCACCACGCCTAGACTCGGTTATTGTTTACTTGTTAACACACTACTGTGTATCCCTAGCCTTTGTGCCTCCCATCTATTGTCGATATTGACACGACGTTGCAGTAAAACAAGACTCGGACGCACGGTAAGAAAATGTACTAGGTCACTCACGTCCCGGGCGCAAAGATCGACGCCCGGCGCTCGTAGGTCATGCCGACAAGATGGTTCGCCAGCCAGCCGTCGATCTCAGTGGAACCCCGGCCGAAAATAAATACCCCCGTAAGAATAAACACAATTCTAAGAGGGTTCTGCAAGCCGTGATCGTCCTTGGTCGTCGTAACGTAACATGAAGATAACATGGCAGTTGTGCCTAAACTGATTGCCAGTTCTAATGCACGTTCGGCTCTAGTTAACACAGAAATCTTTAACAAAGATTATATCCATGCCGTTACAAAGGTTTAGTTGACAGAAATTTTTTCATTTCGTATCACAAATCTCTTTAAATCCTAATAAATGCTGCAAGAGGATTATTTTGTAGCGGGAATGTACCAGCCAGCGTTACGAAGTGAAAATGCGGGCCCCCGAGGTATGTAACGTTAGATGTACACGGCACGGTTTGCTACAATGCTTGGGCCTTTGAAATCTTTTGCCGCTCGCCGCTCTGTCTAATCAGGACGTGCCGTCGTCTTGGCAACACGTGGGAACCGTCCCAGCGACAAGAAGCTTTTCATGCTGAAAGTCTTTATTCCTTTGATTTTGTGACATAAGCAGTAGTTTACGAGGTGTTTTTTTTTAACCTTTTCGCTCTTTCCTGTTCAGAATTGTAAGTCCCAGTAGCCCCTCGTTCTTGTTTTGGTTTGCATCAAATTTTAAATTCGGTCGCACAGACTCACTTCTCCGCCTCGATAATCGTTGCTCTCCGATGGGCGGTCAATCGAATTTTTGATAAACTATGCCGAGCTAACTTTTCCGTGGTCCGGTCAGGTTACAGCAGGCATCTCCAGAATTTCGTATTCTCCTAAAAATTTTGAGAACTCTTGCAAATGGTAAACACGTGCCCGGCGCTCCGTCGCCACAGCCGTTATTTCACATGTCATCACATAAGTGTTATCCGTTAGTGTATTTGAGTGCTGCGATGTTGTGACCGCGCGTTCCCCGCGATCGGAAAATGATTTAAGTGATCTAGTCTATAAAGAGGCGGTATTTCCATTTGTATTTGGTTCTTTTTTTCGCTAACTAAAATCCATCGCGAACTCTTTATTTGGCCCGTTTCGTGAAATTTAGTCGTCCTAAACATAGATGCGACAGGCACATGAATGTATACTGAAAACATCAGTATTAGATCGTTGGTTATTTGCTCAGAAATGACTCTAAAATACACCAGAGAGACCCCCCCCCAACGAGCGGGGGGCTTACCCCCTCTCGTGCTCTTCCCCCGCGCAGCCCTGAC